AAATAAGGAAACAAACTGCAGACAATGAAAGTCCTGTGTCTCAAAAGCACCCAAAAAGAACAACAGTAATGAGGAGAGAAGGGAAAAAGGCACTGGGAAAGACAAGAGGAACAAGTAGTGAAAGAAAGCGAAGAGGAGAAAAGCTCTCTTCTCCGTCCCAAAATGCTGGAGACCTAGAAAGAAGCACGGTAGTGGAGAGAGGATAAGGAGACCGCTTGGAGGGAAACATGTAGTAGAGAGAGGGTAAGGGAATGTAACGGATAATAGGTTTCGTCCCAAAGCACACAGAGACAAGCAAGGAGACTTATACGAAGGAAGACAAGTAGGGAGAAGCATTCTGCCCAAAGCAGCCTGAGAGAAGAATAGCAATGGGGAGCGAATGAAGGATACAACTTGGAGAGAACAAGGGAGACAAGTATACAACTTGGAGAGAACAAGGAAGACACGTACGGAAACAGATGGCAGACGAGAAGAATCAGGGGTCCCAACAAGCACCTAGAAAGAAGAAGAGCAAGAGAGAGAGAGAGAGAGAAAGAAAAAAAGAAAGAAAGAAAGAAAGAAAGGAAAGGAAAGGAAAGAAAGAAAGGAAAGAAAGAAAGAAAGAAGGGCACGAAATGGAGACAACAAGGACGACAAGTACGGAAACAGACAATGGACAAGGAGCATCCGATGAGCATCCTGTGCGCCGGAAGCACCCAGAGAGAACAACAGCAACGAAGAAAGAAGTGTCAAAACAAGTTGAGAACAAGCAGAGAGACGGGCGCAGAAACAGATGGGACACAAGGAGAGTCCTTTCCCCAAAGCAACCAAAACAAAGAACACTGAGCAATGGATCAACAAGGGAGACAAGCACAGAAACAGGTGGAAAACAAGGAGAACTTTGCGTCCCAAACGTACCCAGAGAAAAGAATAGCAATAGATAGAGAAGTACGGAAACAAGTTTGAGACAACAAGGGGAACGAACACGGAAACAAATGGGAGACGAAGAGACGAAGAGTATCCTGTTTCCAGAAGCATCCAGGAAGAAGAACAGTAACAGGGATGGACAAAAGGAATGGAGAGAGGAGGACTGCAACACAAATGAAGGACTCGGGAATGTTTATTGCCCCAAAGCACCTAGAGGTCCTAAAGCCTAGACACACGTGGGAGACAAGGAGAATCTTGGGTCCCAAAAGCACCTAAAGAGAACAACGGTAGTGAGGAGAGAAGTGAAGAAGGCAGTGGGAAAGACTAGAGCAACAAGTAATGAAAGAAAGGAAAGAGGAGAAAAGCTCTCTTCTCCGTCCCAAATGCTGGAGACCTGGAAAGAAGCACGGTAGTGGAGAGATGATAAGGAGACAAGTTGTGGACTAGTAGAAAGGCAAGTAGGGTAACATATGGTAGGGACCCAGGGTAAGGGAATGTAACGGAGTAACGGATAATGGGTTTCGTATGGTTTCGTCCCAAATCACGCAGACTTCCACAAAGGAAGGCAAGTAGGGAGAAACAAAGACCAGGAAATCCATTCTTCCCAAAGCAGCCTGGTAGAAGAATGGCAATGGGAAGGAAATGAAGGATACAACTTGGAGAGAACAAGGGGAACAAACACGGACACAAATGGGAGACGAGAAGAATCAGGAGTCCAGGGTCCAAAAGCACCCAGAGAGAACAACAGTAACTAATGAGGAGAGAAGCGAAGAAAGCATTGGGAAAAACTAGAGGAACAAGTACGGAAAGAGGAGAAAAACTCTCCTCTCCGTCCCAAAATGCTGGTGACCCGGAAAGAAGCACGGTAGTGGAGAGATGATAAGGAGATAAGTTGGAAACAAGTAGGAAGGCAAGTAGGGTAACATGTGGTAGTAACCGAGGGTAAGGGAATGTAACGGATAATAGGTTTCGTCCCAAAGCACGCAGAGACAAGCACAGCAATTAAGAGACAAGTACAGAAAGCAGCCTAAGAGAAGAAATGAGAAGAATAGCAAGGGGGAGGCAATTAAGGATACAACTTGGAGAGAACAAGGGAGACAAGTACGCAAGCAGATGGGAGACGAAGAGAATCATGTGTCCAAATAAGCACCTAGAGAGAAGAACAGCGAGAGAGAGAGAAAGAGAGAAGTAAGGGCACGAGTTGGAGAGAACAAGGGGGATAAGCACGGAGACAGACAGAGGACAAGGAGCATATTGTCCCCCGGAAGCACCCAGAGAGAACAGCCACATGTGAGAGTGAAGTAGAGAGACGAGTACGAAAACAGATGAGACTTGAGTCCTGTCCCCAAAGCCACCAGAACGAAGAACACTGAGCAATGGAGAGAGAGGAACGGGAGACGAGGAGATTCCTTTGACCAAATTCACCCGGAGAGAAGAATCGCAATGGAGATAGAAAAATAAAGAAACAAGTTGGGAACAGACAAGGAGACAAGTATGGAAACAAATGGAAGGCAAGAAGAATCCTTTGCCATCGAGCACCACGAAGAGTATCCTGTGCCCAGAAGCACCCAGGAAGAATAACAGTAACAGGGAGGGACAACAAGGAATGGAAAGAGGAGCACTGCAACAAGGTGACGGAAGGGACATAAATGATGGACTCGATAATGTTTATGGCCCCAAAGCACCTGAAGGTTCTAAAGCCTAGACAGAAACAGCAACAGAGAGAGTAGAATGAGTAGGAAAGTAAAATGGAGTAAGAAAAGGGAGAAAAAATTGGCTGAATAAGGACACAAATTGGAACACATGGGAGGCAAGGAGAATCTTGGGTCCCAAAAGCACCCAGAGATAACAACTGTAATGAGGGTGAAGAAAGCACTGAGAAAGAATAGATGAACAAGTAAGGAAAGAAAGGGAAGAGGAAAGAAACCTTGCTCTCCGTGCCACATGCTGCAGACCCGGAAAGAAGCACGGTAGTGGAGAGATGATAAGGAGATAAGTTGGAAACAAGTAGGAAGGCAAGTAGGGTAACATGTGGTAGTAACCGAGGGTACAGTAAGGGAATGTAACGGATAATAGGTTTCGTCCCAAAGCACACAGAGACAAGCACAGCAATTGAGAGACAAGCAAGGAGACTTATACGAAGGAAGACAAGTAGGGAGAAACATTCTTCCCAAAGCAGCCTGAGAGAAGAATAGCAATGGGGAGGGAATTAAGGGTACAACTTGGAGAGAACAAGGGAGACAAGTATACGACTTGGAGAGAACAAGGAAGACATGTACGGAAACAGATGGCAGACGAGAAGAATCAGGGGTCCCAACAAGCACCTAGAAAGAAGAACAAGCAGCAAGAGAGAGAGAGAGAGAGAAAGAAAGAAAGAAAGAAAGAAAGAAAAGAAAGACAGAAAGAAAGAAAGAAAGAAAGAAGGGCACGAAATGGAGACAACAAGGACGACAAGTACGGAAACAGACAATGGACAAGGAGCATCCGATGAGCATCCTGTGCGCCGGAAGCACCCAGAGAGAACAACAGCAACGAAGAAAGAAGTGTCAAAACAAGTTGAGAACAAGCAGAGAGACGGGCGCAGAAACAGATGGGACACAAGGAGAGTCCTGTCCCCAAAGCAACCAAAACAAAGAACACTGAGCGCGGGGGGGGGAGTAGTAGAACAATCAAGGAGACAAGCAGCTAAGCATGGAAACAAATGACAGACAAGAAGAATCCGCTGCCATCAAGCACCCAGAGAAACAGAACTCAGGCAGGGAGTAGGAGCCAACACGGGAGACAAGCACGGAAACAGGTGGAAAACAAGGAGAACTTTGCGTCCCAAACGTGCCCAGAGAAAAGAATAGCAATAGATAGAGAAGTACGGAAACAAGTTTGAGACAACAAGGGGAACGAACACGGAAACAAATGGGAGACGAAGAGACGAAGAGTATCCTGTTTCCAGAAGCATCCAGGAAGAAGAACAGTAACAGGGATGGACAAAAGGAATGGAGAGAGGAGGACTGCAACACAAATGAAGGACTCGGGAATGTTTATTGCCCCAAAGCACCTAGAGGTCCTAAAGCCTAGACACACGTGGGAGACAAGGAGAATCTTGGGTCCCAAAAGCACCTAAAGAGAACAACGGTAGTGAGGAGAGAAGTGAAGAAGGCAGTGGGAAAGACTAGAGCAACAAGTAATGAAAGAAAGGAAAGAGGATAAAAGCTCTCTTCTCCGTCCCAAATGCTGGAGACCTGGAAAGAAGCACGGTAGTGGAGAGATGATAAGGAGACAAGTTGGGGACTAGTAGAAAGGCAAGTAGGGTAACATATGGTAGGGACCCAGGGTAAGGGAATGTAACGGAGTAACGGATAATGGGTTTCGTATGGTTTCGTCCCAAAGCACGCAGACTTCCACAAAGGAAGGCAAGTAGGGAGAAACAAAGACCAGGAAATCCATTCTTCCCAAAGCAGCCTGGTAGAAGAATGGCAATGGGAAGGAAATGAAGGATACAACTTGGAGAGAACAAGGGGAACAAACACGGACACAAATGGGAGACGAGAAGAATCAGGAGTCGAGGGTCCAAAAGCACCCAGAGAGGACAACAGTAATTAATGAGGAGAGAAGCGAAGAAAGCATTGGGAAAAACTAGAGGAACAAGTAAGGAAAGAAAGGAAAGAGGAGAAAAACTATCCTCTCCGTCCCAAAATGCTGGTGACCCGGATGATGGACTCGATAATGTTTATGGCCCCAAAGCACTTGAAGGTTCTAAAGCCTAGACAGAAACAGCAACGGAGAGAGTAGAATGAGTAGGAAAGTAAAATAATGGAGTAAGAAAAGGGAGAGAAAATTGGCTGAATAAGGACACAAATTGGAACACATGGGAGGCAAGGAGAATCTTGGGTCCCAAAAGCACCCAGAGATAACAACTGTAATGAGGGTGAAGAAAGCACTGGGAAAGCATAGATGAACAAGTAAGGAAAGAAAAGGAAGAGGAAGGAAAAGAGCTACAACCACTGGATAAGATCAGAAAGGAGGACGGTCGCATTATACCAAAAGGTCCCTGCCACATATATATATATATATATTATACATTGCGTTGATTCCCCCAGGACATCGTCCATTGGCTGCAGCCTGGGAGCAGATCTTCTAAGCTGCAGTGGTTGGAAAACGCCTCAATGAAACGAAAGCTGATGGTGGGGTGACAGGTGGGCTTTAAGCATCAGGAATTCAGAACCAAAGATAGGGATATGATTGGGGATATTCGTGCTATTTCATGCTGAAAACGTTTGTCGACATGGTGATATATGGTGATTTATTGCGGTTTAGCCATCGTTTATTGGGGATATTGATGGGGATACTACTGTAGATTGTTTGATGACATGTACTACTGTTTCATTTGAGATCATTTTGGTTAGCTTGAAACCACAACCAAAAGGTGATTTCAATTCATGACTAAGAGTTCTCAACGACATAAGTTCTGATTCGTTGTTTAAAGGTTTTGTTTACCTCAATTGCCAAGTTATACGACGTATTTGGTAGATGTAGTTTTAGATTTGGGTAGCTAAGGTGAATTGAACCGCGTTTTGACTGGAAGGTGATCAGATCTTTGAGGTGTGAATGGCCAAGGTTCATCCTTTTGCAGGTTTCTTTGTGGACGCACATGCATCTTTGAATCCAACCATGTTCTCAAATTCGCTCGGGGAAACACATGGATCTTTAATGTATCTCCAAGTCATGATATTGTTAGGAACTGTCTGAGTCGAAGGGAGTTCTTCCGGTTGTATTTGGCTCCACTTCTGAAGCTTCAGATATCGTGAGATTATGAATCAGCAAGGCTAGCTTTCCGGGTCTGCAAGTCAATTCCCAGAAGCTTTCGCTGATCAGAGATCGCTCCATTGCCTGGCAGGAACCAAAAAAAAAACACTAACCCACTTGATCTCATGGTTTTTTACGAGTTTAAACCTCAGTTTACCATATGTTACCCCTTCATAGCCATGTTTAATTCCCACTTTGTGTGGGGGTCACAACCCAAAACTTCCGAGAACTCCATGAGTTTCCCAGCCAACGACCTGCTCGTGGGTACCCCATTGTGCGTGCCATGGACGCACTGCGCAGAGGGTTCTTCATGGGCCTCTTTTCTGAGGAGCTGCGGCAGGGTTGGCCAAAATGGGGATGTTTAGAAAAACTAGAAAAAACATAGAAACATGGGGAATGAACATAAATGAACCATCAAAACTGGGGAATTTCAATAACATCTGAGGAATTGTCCATCAAATATTGAGAATTTGAGCAAGAAAAATAGAGACTATACCGTCAAAATGAGGATGTCAGGTTTCGATTTCCAAGTGATTATAAGGATGGATACACCCAACGATTTCTTCATTAGGGTCAACACTCAGCTGACTCAGCTGATCACGGATGGATACAATCGTACGAAGTTTTGTGCAATTGTCTCTCAAGTACGATGTTTGCCAGTTTGGACAGCCCAGTTTGGACGCCTAGACAGTGTGAATGCATTGTTGAACGCAGCGAGAACTCACATGAAATCATCCATATTAGGACGTCGGAGTCCTGAGAAAAGGATTGTATTCCTGGGTGCCAAATGGTAAGCCAGCATGTTGGCTTACCATCTACCTTAATGTGTTAAACTAAATAGTAAAGCTATGTAAAGCTTGAGTTTTGGAGGGTTGGAGGGAACCCAGTTCTGCTGAGTCGTTGCGGATTACTATATTTAGTTTTATCACGTTACAATGGTTGATCTGTGTCATATGAAATGGTTTCATCAAATAATGTATATTTATAATGTATACAGCATACATCTGCATACCACATGACTATGATTGCTAGATTGAATTAAAATCTATTGTGCATTATACCATATTTTGAGACGATGAACATCCGAACATCCCTAAATTGCACCTCTTTTGGTGCAAAAAACACTGGATTTCATGGCTTTTAACCCATAGTATCCCATAGTAAGGTATGTACCAAACCGTCACAGACCTGAACATTGTTTGACAATCTGACTATATGTGACTTGTCACTTTCTAAGCTGACATGATTTAACAACATATTACCACTATGTGGTTGGTATTGGTTGGTTTTATCACATGTTCTCCCCATGTTTTCGGCCGCGCAGACAGCCCCGGAGCCTCCTACTGTGGAAGTGAACTGCTCCTGTGCTCCTGCGGTTCCATCAACGCCGCCTGCGCTGGAGCGACTTGGCAATGCGATGCAGGAGCTGTATGGTAACCTCCAAAAAGATAGAAAAGTGCTTCCAGGATGTTAGTTCGATGATATTTACTTCATATTTTCCACTGGTCCAGGTTTCCAACTTTTCGTCATCTGTGGGTTACTATAATCTAAGCTGGTGTTCTTGAAATTTCCCTGTGATGTTTACAGATAACTTTTGAGAAACATACAGAAAATTGTTACAATTGAATACAACATTTATATTTGTGTACACGTACACACACGCACACTCAAATTATCATATATCTATATGTTGCGATATGTTTACATATCATACTTGTACAGCCAAATAATTGTCATATATATATACATGGGTATTATTATTATTATTGCACATCATATACTACATATATACAGTATGTGTTTCAATTTGGGCTCATTTTGAGTATGTTCCATGTCACAGTTTTTTTTCATCTTCCCATACCTTTGGAAGGACCGTGCACGGTTCCCATGCCCCCGAAGATCCGGTCACAAGTGTTCCTTGGCCACATCTCCCAGGTAATAGCTGTCACTTTGCGACATAGAACATGGCCATTTTTTTGTAGTGGATTTACCCAGCTAGAAAATGGTGGATCTTTCCATAGTCTTTTGTATGTTTACCAGAGGGTATCATATCATTAACCATTATTATAACCATTATTATCCATTATTCACCATCCATTAACCATTATTATAACCATGTTTGTATGTTTTTTGTTCAATCCCACCTGTGATTTCTGATCCCACCGTTGACATTCCTACCACGGTTGCCAGGGATTCCAATGAAATTGGTGACTGGGCTCGGGGGTGCTGAACTGCTTGGATCTGCTTGGCCGGTAAGCGTTTACACTTTGGCGAACGGTAAAAATGACAATTTTTCATAAGGAAATCAACCATGAATGGGGGTCATTGTCCCTTTTATCTATGTTAGTTTACTGGAAGGTGCAGTACTGTCGATGAATATGGACATATTTCAGGTGTGTGAAATATAGAAATATTTATATATATATATATATTAATAAGTATCTATAGATACATATATAGATGTATATATAGATTATAGTAAGTTCACTAATTTGCGATATCGGCAGTGAAAGGGATCACTCCAGTCGATGGGTTCGTGGCCGCTGTAGCTGCCACTTGTTTACCTCACTTCTTTAACATACATCGGCATCGACATTTGAAACGATTGGATGTCGGTATCTCTGAAAAAAAAGGGTATCCCCAAATCCAGTGGTGCCAGAATGTTCCCTGTTACCCTCTGGTAAACTAACATAACTATGGAAAATCACCATTTTTAGTGGGAAAACTCACTATTAATGGCCATTTTCAATAGCTATGTTAGTTTACCAGAGGGTACAATGGCTGAGTGAATTTTCTCCATGGTCCCAGAGTTCCTGGCATGTGGCTGACGAGGGCTGACGTTCTGTTCTGCAGGATGATCGTGCCCAACTTCGTTTCACGGGGGTTTCCATAGTCATGGGGGGTACCCCCAAAGATGGATAGCTTATATCACGAAAAAAAACATTAAACAAATGGATGATGATGAACAGGGGTACCCCCATTTATGGAAACGTCATGATATCTCCATCTTATGTCAAGTAGTGCTTGATACATGTTCATTCGTAGCTTGACATTACTTGACCAATTTATCTGGATGGTCAAGTAAGAATTGATACCCCCATTTATGGTGATAATTGGTATAATGATATTGATACCTAGATGGAGATAATGGTGTCATCAACCATGTAGCTACCGACATTTTGCCAACGGCAGACAGCTAGCTGGTAGCAGCCTAGGAGTTTCAGCGTATCTTTTCCTGGGAGTTTGGATGGTGGTTCTGCAACCTGGCCTCCGGCGATGAGCGAATGTGGGAAGGAGGAAGTGATGTTTGCAATAGTGGTTAATTATGATGGTTAATGGTTAATAGTGATGTGGGATGGTGAATAATGGTTGCAATAGTGGTTAGTGGATGGTGAATAATGGATAATAGTGGTTAATTATGATGGTTAATGATGGTTAGCCGTAAACTAACCGTTTGCGAACTTGACAAATCACCATCTTGAAAAGGTAAATCAACTATTTCTAAATGGGCCTATTTTTTTCTATAGCAAACTGTTAAATTACCATATTCCATAATAGAAAACTACTTGCATGTGTGAGTCCCAAGTGACTTTGTGATTGTGATTTTTTGACATGTCTGATATTGTTTGTTGTTTTCATATTTCTCTGGTTGGATATTTTGTTTCTATCACTGGCGCTGGTGTATCAGTATTTTTTGTGAATGTCACTTTGCATCACTGAGCTCAGTGACAAGTACAACTGCCACATTTCTTCGGAGCACTTCACGTCAGTCGGTCAGCGGTTTTTTTTGCGGACTCCACATGAAGCCAAGAGGGAACCGGCTCTCCAGCAATCAAACATGGCAATTGAGCATAACCGTCATTCACAACGCATTCGATGATCTTATATACTGTAATTATATACATAGTGGATTTCTCATTGCCATGTTCCGTATTACTGGAGAGCAGATATTATACCAAACTGGCCTCCAATCACTTTTCCCCAGACATGATTGGTTCTGATTAAACCCCGTTAAATGACACCGATTGATATCATATTGTTGTTGTTTATATCCCATTACATCGCCCGATGCAAATTGTATATTATTACATTAATGAAGTATAAGAGGATTACATCATATATATATATATATATATTATTATTATTATTATTTTTATTATTTTTATTATTATTATTACTATTATTATTACTATTATTATTACTATTATTATTATTACTATTATTATTATTATTACTATTATTATTATATTAATGAAGTATAATCCTAATATAATCCATGATATATATATATATATAATTTCAAATTAAATCCTATTGAATCCTATGAGTCCCCACTGCCATGAAATCTGAAGTCACCACAAAAGACCTTCCACACAAGGTGGCCTCCCAGTGATGTTTGTTGGCTTATAACCCTAATGAAAAGTATAGGATAGTATAGGTATATGTACCATAAACCCAAATTATTGGAGTTCTGTGAACCCCAACTTAGCAACGAGCTAAAAACCACCACCTTGCAGGTACTACATCAGTCACACCATCTGGCTTGAGCGACATCGCTTTCTGCAGACGCAGGCCGCTCATCAAGCAGGCTTTGCGACGTATTTAACGCAGCTCGGCATCGGGATTTCACCGTCAAATGGCGAAATGGCGCAAGGGCTTGCTGAAGCGGGTGCGATGATGAGCTTCACATGTGAATGTTGATAGGTTTCTGTTGGTTTACAATCAGGCAAAAGGTGATTTTTTGGGTGGATATATCATCTCTTATATATTATATATAATTATATAGTAAACTAACTACACAACTTATACGTGGGGCCCTTTCTTGCAGGGGGAGGTCGTTTACACCAAGGATCCATCGAGATTTTTGGACATATGGGGACCTAGCATCGGTGGGCATTTAAAAACATGAACCAGCTTTTGCATGCACATAGATCTACATACCCTCTGGTTATGACTAACAGTTTGCCATGGAAAGATCCACCATTTTATAGCTAGGTAAACCATCTATAAATGGGCCATGTTCCATGGCTATGTTAAATAACCAGATGGTAGATGATGCGTTCTCTCAGTGTTGAAATGTGAGTTCTTTGCAGTTGTTCAGGTACCGATTTGGACACTGGTATGCCTGGACGCAAGCGGCATCTGTGAAAGTGCTACTGGTCTTGTCTGCCACTCTCCTCGTGGCGAAGCTGCATTGGGGCACCCCGTATCATCCAGAATTAGACCATTTTCGTATTGAAACCAAATGACACCAATGGTTTTTGGCGATCCCCCATTTCAAGAAACCACCATAGCAGCTCCTCGCATTTGGTAGTGGTTTTCAACAGTGTCTTCTTGTCAATCCAAGATATCCATCAGAATGGATAAGCTGAGCTGCTCGCTGGTTGATCTCAAGAATGGATGCCAAAAATAGGATGGACATCGTTTTTTTCTGATCTTAGCATGGAACCTCCAACCAATCCAACTTGTCCACAAGACAAACATGATTTGCACTTTCAAGATTGTGGAATTTCCAAACATGTTTTGACAGTTTTGACATACTGCACTCAATATTATCGATATTGGAGACATACTTTCACCTATGTTCCAAGCGTTTACATCGTCATATCCCCTTGGGTATCTGTTGTTCCCGGCCCCACATGTTCGACTCGTCAGATCTCGTGAGATGTTTGGAATTTTCTTTCACTTTTACCCTCCGGTAAACTAACATAGCTATCGAAAATCACAATTTTTAATGGGTATATAAATCAACGAAAAAACAGCCATGTTCAATCGAAAATGGCCCATTTATAGTTGGTTTACCTATATTTACCAGTTCAAAATGGTGATTTCCCATAGTTATGTCAACGTTTACCACGACTTAAAGCCACGAAAGATTCACAACGATTCGATGTCGTCGAGGTCGTTGGCGGACTTGGGCATTCGGTCCTGTCGCAATCCTCCATCCAGGCCCGGTGGCGATACAAGATGGTGCTTTTTCCAGTGATGTGAACGTTGGTTTATAACACGTTATAACCCCCATGAAAAGTATAGGTTTATCTACCATAAACCCAAGTTATTGGAGTTATAAACCCCAGGTTATTGGTTTATAACCCTGGGTTTATCATGGTTTAGCTACCATAACCCCCATAAACCCAGGTTATTTTGAAGTTATTTGGAGCAACTTAGCTAACGAGCCAAAACCACCTTGTAGAATCGCTTTCAGATATCCACAGTCATGAAACAAATACCATAGTTGATAGGTTATTATGGGGATTATAGTTATTTTATTATCATTTATTTTTATTTGTATGGGTTATATACTATATCATTATTATTATGGGTTATATACTATCTGATACTATCTGGTTTAATGGGGACTATCATAGACCAGAATATTAACCATATAATTTCCATGGACCATGGTTTGACCGTGAATTTAGGGAGTAAATTGGTTTCTTCTTTTGGAATGGATAAAAGACAAGCGTACCCAACAGACAGTCGAAGGGGAAGTCTGTGCGTCTCAAGTGGCGGGCTTTCAGTTTGATCACCCTCTCATCCATGGGCAAAATAAAGGGCAATTCGAGAAGATTGGTGACATCTCGATCCGAAATGCAAATTGACGATCACAAATGATCACAATCATTATCTAGACCATTTCCATGTTTGATCAAATTCTCACGTTTTCTGTTGGCTCCGCCTCTCGCCCGGTTGGCTCAGTCCATCTGGATTATTGTAGTTGGTAATCATAGAATATAGGGTAAATATATGTACCCTCTGGTAAACTAACACAACTATGGAAAATCACCATTTTTAATGGGTAAATCCACTATAAATCACCATTTTCAATAGCTATGTTAGTTTCCCCGAGGGTAAAGATCTGCAAACATGATTTTGCAGGTTCCATTCCCATTTATTTTACTCCAACCACCAAATTCTTGAATCCATCCACAGCTTCATGCACATTTCAAAGCTTTTCACTCAATGTTTTCTACTTACAAATATTATTTGTTTTGATCATGTTTTGCTGCACAGCTTTCTTGGAACCTTCTTTGGTCGAGGGAGATAGACCTTATCTGCCACGTTTGATGATTAACTCATGTTTAATCCCGATGTCAATCAAGTCTTGATAGATATCCATCTTAAATCACGTGTTAATCATGTCAAATCACTTTTTTAACCATGGTGTTAGATCGCTATGTTAAATCATGTTAAATCACTATTTCATATATTTCATCACCATTCAAAACATGATACATAACTATTGAATATACTGTATGTTAATCATGTGTTTAATCACTATTTAATATGTATTGTCTAATGTTATCTAAATTAATATGTGTGATGTATGTTAATCATTTATACACTATGTTTCACTATTTAATATATCCCCAGATGCCCATGTATGGAATATTTACCTACATTTACCCCAAACATTCCCCAGTTTTGTAGGTAAATATTCCAGCACCATGGAACATTTGGGTATGTTTAAACATTAACATACTTAAATAGATATGATTAATATTACGCTAACCATACTGTATTAATACATGATATATGTTACTGGTTGGTGGTTTGGAACTTTTTTTTTCCCCTTCCTAGTTGGGAAGATGATCCAATCTGACGAAGTCATATTTTTCAGAGGGGTAGGTCAACCACCAACCAGATAATTTACCATTAACCATTATTATCCATTATTCACCATCCATTAACCACTATTTTCACCACTATTAACCATCATTAACTATGGAAAATCACCATTTAGATCCATTTAGATCCATTTTAGATCCTAGAAAAAAACCAATGATAATGATCATAGATAACTTAGATAACTTACCCTCTGGTAAACTAACATAACTATGGAAAATCACCATTTTTAATGGGAAAATCCACTATAAATAGCCATTTTCAATAGCTATGTTAAATTACCAGAGGGTAAAGATCTGCAAACATGATTTTGCAGGTTCCATTCCCATTTAGATAACTTAGATAACTTCGGTTAAATCCACCTCTTTTTTGGGGAAAAAGATGGCAGGAATCGCTGTGGCGCTCCTGGATTTGGATCGCCGACCCGGACGGCGGCGAATCGGCGCTGCCCGGGGGCCACGCGGTGGGCGTGGTGGTCTCCATCGGCGCCTCGGAGATGGCGAGAAAAACCAGCGGAACGTGGTGACTTACCCTCTGCAATGTGGTGCCCTATAGTTAGCTAAGTTGGTTTATAACTTCAATAACTATGGTTTATGGTAGATATATCTATAGTTAATGGGGTTTATAAACCAACTTATAACTGGGGGGCACCACCTTGTGGTTATGGCTAACATAGCTATTGAAAATGGCTATTTATAGTGGATTTTCCCATGAAAAATGGTGGGTCTTTCCATAGTTATGTAAACGTTTACCAGAGGGTAACCCAGAAAAATGATGAAAACATATGATTTTCTTAATGGGATAATCTAGATATAAGCTGATTTATTGCGACTTGTTTGGGATTTTAAAGAGTTGTTTTTTGGTTATTGTTGATATTTTAAACCATGTCAAATCACCTTAAGTAAATACAATGTGTTTGATCCTAAACAGTCTTAAACACCTGTTTTATTGTTGATCGTTAGATTCCGATCAAGTTGATGATTAAATCATGTTTTTTTTCCCTACTTGTGGTGCAATTGGGATGGGTTTTATAGGTTTTTTGCTACGGAAAAACCTCTATGATTGTGATGTTATATATATATATATATCCACTTTAATATGGTTTTATAGGTACAACTACGGAAAACCTCTATGATTGCTGTCCACTTATATAATCTTATATATCTGGAACTTCCCCCCCAAGTACTAGGATTTTCCATGTGGGATTATAGATTATGTGGTGAAGCCAATAATAACATGTAAAATTCATCCGTGTCATCCCCCAATTTCACCAGAAATATGGGTTGGTATTGACGACCCTCCTAAAAGTTGTTGGGGTTACCATCTGGTTATTTAACATAGCCATGGTATAGATGGCCCATTTATAGATGGTTTACCTATTAAAAATTGTGATTTTCCATGGCTATGTTGAATAGCCAGAGGGTACCACATTAAGGATTTGATTTTCAATAACTGATTGGTGCTTTGGAACCATTGAATTTTATGACTTTCCATTCAGTTGGGAATGTCATCATCCCAACTGACAAACTCATATTTTTCAGAGGGGTGGGTTGAAACCACCAACCAGATAAGCATTACATCTAAGATTTTTTTTTTTATCAGCATCCAAACGACAATGAGGATATGAAGTGATATGAATGGAGATGGGGATGTAAAAAATAAATATAGGGACTCAACCAACCATGGAGATACACTGGGGATCAACCAACAGCCATCAAGTTGGTTGGTGATTTGAAAGGCGCCAGTCACACCCCGGCGATGGTCTCCCATTGGAGGGTTCTGGCGTGGGCCATTTCTTGTGGGAGTGGCCCGCTTTTTCGTCGCGCTGTCAGCTGGGAGACCTACACGAAAATCTCCTCAGGAACTCTCCCACATGTAGGTGATGAAAAATGCCACTCAAACATCGGGGTTCACGTTGTACGGTTATAGTTATAAACAGAGTTAAAACCCTTTGTACCCTTGCTGTTCGCACCAAAACGGCTATGGATGTTCAGCTTAAAAAAAATGGTCTAGTAAAATTCTACTCAAAATTTACCATTTTTGGTGATACTTCCTCTTGCTGTACATACAAACCATCATCTCTGGGGCTTGGTGGGCAAGTCAGGCCGCCTGAACAAATTTCCTCGGTCGCATGAATTGCAATACCAACATTTTGACAAAAGAAATGAGCTAAACGATTGTCAGATGTAGGTACATCTACGCTCTGGTATTCAAACATGGCAGTGGAAAATCCTCTAGTTATAGACAATGTTCCTCTTCAAGACTCAGCCATAAATAGGAATTTCCAGCCATTTTATGGATTAGCAGAGGCTATGATGGAGCGGTGCCTATCGGTGGAGCATCGGTGCCCAGGTGGCATGTTGATCTTCGCGCTTCTCCTGTCGTTGATCACAAGCGCCTTCGAAGATTTCCTGTGGCAAATTCGCCATGGCTCCCTACCGGTGGTGGAAGGTGCGGCTTCCATCCCGGAGTAGATTGGATGAATGTTGCTTAAAAATTGCTGAATCATATATATGATATAAATCTATGTATTGATATCCTGAAATATATAAACAATCTAAATCTATCTCCATGGTTTTTCATGGTTTTTCAACCACCAGTCTTAAGTCGTCGTGGCTTCGGCACAGGTGACCACATTGTGATCCTGGGCTACGATCGCTCGGCCATTTGGATGATCGAGGACGCACAAAAACCATGGAGGTTCCCCAGGGATTTTCCACCTTTCTAGGTCATTCATGGGAATATTCATGGGATTTTCCCATTATTAATGGAATATTCCCATTATTGATTAAAGGATCCCATGGGATGTTCCCATTATTGATTCCCATTTTCACCATTATTAATATTTCCATTATTAATGGGATTAATCCAGATATCATGGGAATATTGATGAATATTGACTATATAATGGGATATTTCATGGGAATATGATCCAGATTCTGGGATACTTTATAATGGGATACTTTAATGGGAATGTTGACTAGTTCCAGGGATATTCCCATTCTTTACATGGATACAAACTAATCCTAACTAGTCTTTTGGTAATGGGAATATTTACGTTCACCAGCAAAGTTTTTTTTTGCAGGGGTATCTAAGATTGGCAATGCTTTGATGACCGGATGGTCAAACAAAAATTGGTGATGCATGGAGAACCCAGCTTTTTGAACCTCCGTTGACTTCCGGATCCATGAAAAAACATGGGCCAGAAACTTGAAGAGATCGTGGTTTCATCAGTTTCATCGTGATCAAATGATAATTGTTTAGCAACAACCATTGTGATGTACCCTCTGGCTATTTAACATAGACATGGTATAGATGGCCCATTTATAGATGGTTTACCTATTAAAAATTGTGGATCTTTCCATGGCTATGTTAGTCATAACCAGATGGTAATAGTGATTTCAAACATGGCTACGAGATCCTCGAACTAAGTGGAGGCTTAGTGCGCTGGGACGATAATCGATGCCCATTTTGGTTGATTCGATTCCCTATCTCTGCTATTTTCCCCGACATTTCTGCCTCAAGCACGAACCAACTTAGACCTATTGGATCATAATTAAAAGTCCCGTGGTTTTTGGTGATATCAGTGATATCCTCCAAATTTAGGCCATGACTTGATCTTTGATCAATGGATCCATCCCTGGTATAACTTCGACATGGAAATCCATGGCTTTCTTCGGGAAATGATCGATATATATATATATATATCGATATCAATGGTGGCAGCTTGGCACGTCAATGTTAGTAAACACCTAGGTTTTTATATACCCTCTGGTTATGACTAACATAGCCATGGTATAGATGGCCCATTTATAGATGGCCCTTTTATAGATGGCCCATTTATAGATGGCTTACCTATTAAAACTGGTGGATCTTTCCATGGCTATGTTAGTCATAACCAGAGGCTATTTGCTATGTTTTTCCGAAGATGTGTTGAAACAACAGCCATGACTTCTGGATATTATATATTATATATATACATAAAATATCATATGACATATATGACATGGCTTGAAACACTCATTTTTATTTTTCGAGCCATGTTTTTTTTTTTTCCGGATGGCTCAGCCATCGCAGCCAGGAGTTGTGTACCGCCATGGAAACCTCCGGCGGTGGGCTCATCGCCATCTTAGCCTCAGAGGTGCCATGCAGCGATCGGAAAACAGGGGGTTTTACCATGTGATAAGAATGATGACATAGTGATAAAACAATGATGAAACTGGAAACATATATATATAACATATATATATATGTATATGTATATAACATATATATATAACATATATATATATATATGAAAGTTTAGATGAACATAAAAGAACAAGGAGAAGGAAAATGAAGACAATGAATAAGAGATTAAGAGTGTTGACTTGAAGGATATCAGAAAACAACAGCGGACAAATTAAAGGGAGCTGCACAGATGAAGATCCGTTCAGATTAGGGTTGAACATGGGGCAAGTTCTGGTGTACCATCCTGGCATCTATTGGAATGTCGGGACTGGGTGAAGTGTTCCTAAAATCATGATATTCTTGCGGAATGGTGGGGCTGGGGGAGCTATCCACTAATCATCATCCCATTTTAATGAAATTCTTGATGGAATTTAATGATTGATGCGTGCGTGCAACATCATGGAATCCATGGAACAGAATGCTACAGCTGCTACGGGGGATCGCCATAAAATTTGGAGCTGTTGAACCTGACATAACCTGACAAAGCCCAGGGAAAGGCTGAAGTGGAGAATTGGATCCAACATGCTGACATCAATCTGCAACTTGGCTGCCGTGGTACTTCAAAAACGGCCACTTAAGAATGTATACTCAAGTCTTATTTTGCCTAGCACGGTCGTTATTCATATTCCAGCATATCCCAGTGGTAAAATAGGTTAATTAGTCTGGAAGCAAGGTATACCCCTTAATGGATCTAGACAAACCAATTTGGGAAGCCCGGAACTTCAGAGACTGCAGGGTTCGTGCTTTCAGCCATATGTTCTACGTTGACGCGTATGTGTGAATTTGACTGAAGATTACATTGTATGACTCAAGCAAACGTCGAATTCAAATGTTACAGTATCAGATGTTCAATTCTCCAATTTCGAGGTAATTTGGTAATTCTTGCAAAGACACCAAAAACGCTTCAATCCAACTTGACTGTCTATTGTTTCTCTGGTGGTGTTCAATTCAAGATCCAAACATAAAGTTTTTATGAAAGATATATGGGGGAATCTTAGGAGCTTGGCTGTGCTCATCAGGATTTTGATCTACTTGTACCAGAGTTAAATGGGAAAACCTCTGAATCTCTCAGAGATTTCCCGTTCTTGCGCCCTAAGGCGCAACTCTTCGGTCGTGGTGCGAACTGGACAGGCCTACAATGAGGAGGACGGACGCGACATCGAAAGCCGCCCTTCACATGGCTTTTGGCGGCTGAAGCTTTACTGGTTAGTGGCTTCAACGAAGATTTGCAGCAATTTTGGATCAGGATCTCCAGTGAAGCGATTCATATGTTCTGACGAATTGAATCGACATGTCATCGGACTATGACTGGTTGGTGCTTTGGAACATGACTTTTATGACTTTCCATTCAGTTGGGAATGTCATCATCCAACTGACGAACTCACTCCATCATTTTTCAGAGGGGTAGGTAGGTCAACCACCAACCAGTGGTCCATGATGGTCCATGTTATGTTCCCCGGGTCGTGATCCTGGAGACTCCATTGGGATTTGACATGGCTCCCAGAGAGAGAAAATTGGAGATACGGAAAGGATGGGCCAGCGAAATCCGATAAACCACCAATTTGGGATGGTTGAAACCCTAGAAATCATGGGATGTTTACCACCGTTTTCAACTGGTGCAGGATTTCGCAACCATCCACAGTATGCAGTACATGAATATAGTTTGTATATGCAATGTACACATGCAGTACATGATTTCGGCCGATTTTGATGCTTTCAGATATGGGTTTGTCTGAAAATGGGGTGCCCCAAACTGACTGGATGTCATCATTTTCCCCATTCAATATTAAAGCCCCTGGTAAACTGACAGTTTGCTATTGAAAATGGCAATAGAAATAGTTGATTTCCCAAGTAAACTATGGTGGTTTTCCAGTTCTCAAACTGTAAACGTTAGACTAGAGGCATTCCCATCATTAACCATCATAATGAACCATGATTATCCACTATTCACCATCCATTCACCACTATTTTCACCATCAGAAAAACCATTCTCCCTGGAAAGTCTCGCCAGGACTTAACGAAAGTGGCCGCCAGGGATCCAAAGATGGAAAATCCGCCCGGAGATCCCACCAATTGGGGCATCTTTTCTTGGGAAGATGGGAATATGTTGGGGCCTGGGGAGCCCTTTTTTGCAAATCCTGGCAGATTTTTTGTGTTGTTCTTGATATTTCTGGATACTATTCTCATTAATAAAACTATATTCACTGCATTCTAACATTACTAGATTTTCTAGTCGTCCTTACAGTTGATCCTTATCCATTGTCAGTATAGGATCACTATCGTCATTTTAAGGGATTGGTTGTGTTTGCCCATAGAGACCATATGATGTTGTTTGTCTTGAGCAACTGAAAGCTGCTGTGAAATAATTGTATGGCAAATGATGACAAGAAAATTAAAGCTTTGGCCCTGAATCATTTTGGAGAAGTCCATGGGACGTTGATGGGCATAGAACATGTATTGTTTGTTTGATTCTCCTTAGAGTACTACATGAATACTAAGGCATTCCCAACAAAATACTCCGCTGAGACTTGCGTGGCCGAGTTGAAGGATTTTTTCTGGGCAAATCGCTTCACTTGGCACTGACAAAGATGACCCAAGTGGTCCGTTGTTTCCCGAGAAGGCCCTGATTGGTCCCTTATTCCTATCCACTACCTGTATCATGAGCCATGGTAGCCACGTTCTTAAACCTTGTGGATTGGGGATTTGGCTGCACAGCTTCATCCCCAGAAGGTCATGCCGCATGGGATGGACCACTTGCGTCCCTTGGGGATCGGCCAATTTTTTGTCGATTTGTCCTTAAGAATCAACTCATTGACACACCATGACACACCATGAAGGTTGGTTTCTCAGCACCCAATTTGGCAACTGTGAACTTTTCATGTTTGTTGAAACTGTGAACTCCCCATGTTTGTTGAATCCTCTGGTGGCTGTTGTTATTTGCAATCCACCTCACATAAAATGAGGTGCAAACTGCGCGCCGAATTGTGCTCCTGGCCAACAAGAAAGTTTCCCGGGAGGCGAAGAGAGAAAATGAGAGGGCCCCAAGACATAGATTTGTATAGATATGTTCAGCATTTCATGGAAAATCATGGGAAAACATGGGGAAATCATGGAACATCACGATAGTTAGTGACAGTTAGTGGAGAAAATCGCATTTATACTTGGTTGAACAGAACATAGATATCCTTTTCACACTGGTCGGTTGATGAAAAGAGATGGCTCCCATGCAACAACCAAAAAGTAGATGAGTCAATGAGTGAATGAGTATATATACCAAACCGGCCCCGGCCCCAAGTTTCTTACAGTTGTTTCCTCTGGTTACACTAACATAACTATGGAACATCAATGAAAATCACAATTGCTGGTTGGTTTGGAACATGTTTTATTGTTCCATTCAGTTGGGAATGTCATCATCCCAACTGACGAAGTCATATTTTTCAGAGGGGTAGGTATACCACCAGCCAGAATTTCTTTGGCCATTTTCCGTAGCAAACTCTTCGTTGAGGAAATTTCTCCTGCCAGGAAGCCGATGCCCAAAGCCTCAACGCGCTGCTGACCTTACAAGGCCTCGACTATACGCCTTCGAAGGACCGAAGGGACTGGAGGAATCCGATTGGGAAAGTGGTGGGTTTTAAGTGACAAAATTGCAGATTTGAAATTAACATCTTGTTAACATTTTGTAGATTTCCTGAGGATTTGTGGGAAAATTGTGTGGAATTGAGGTGATGACTTGTTATTCTCGGGAATTGGAAATGTTGAACAGGTTTGAATAGTAGCCTCGATCATTAAGAGGATTATATTGTATTACATTTTCTCATTGATCCCAGCAGGGATATTATAAAATAATAAATAATTACCCTTTGGTTATTTAACATAGCCATGGAATATGGCCCATTTATAGATGGTTTACCTATTATAAATGGTGATTTTCCATGGCTATGTTAAATAACCAGATGGTAAATATAAGAAACCACACATTGGGGATGGTTAAAAAAAATCAGTGGATAAAAGGGGGAATCTTCCCCACCTGATCACCATGTTTTTTTCGTTTTTCTGAACTATGGCTGCAGTTCAGCCGCTCAAAACTCTCGGAAGAGTGGGGATCGATCCAGCAAGAGCTGGAGAGACAAGCAACCAGACATTGGGAATCATATAGTGGGACTGAACTTCTCGGGATTTACAGGGTAACTATATGTTACATACTCTTTTCCAGCAACCCATCATAATTCCCAAAAATGCCTATCGGGGAAATCACATTCGGGACTTCATCAGCTAAAATTTTCACTTGACCATGATACAGGAGGCCATATTTGCAAACATCTGGGGAAGATCATGAGCGACCTTATTGCCGGGCAAGAGGAATCGCGAAGTTCCAGTGCATGTACGGCCGGTTTTTCGTTAAAACAGTGGGATTCGGCCCAGATGACCTGATAGATTTCATAGATCATGAGCCTTGGGGATGGGAAAACCCGGCGACCTGGCTGACCTGAGTCAGCGCCACAACTTGTCACAGTTCATACCTCCCTTGAGCTCTGGCGCGTGCAGGAAAGGTGTACAATCGTGGAGTGCTGTTTGGTAGCTTGGCCCAGCGTTTCATTGTGAAGGACAAGCTAGAGATAGAGATGACGAGAACGAGATGGAGATAGTGTTGGAGGGATAGATAAATGGACAATAGCTTTAAGCTTTAAGCCCTAGAACGATAGCTATAGATCGATTGATGGATAGATAGATTCCAGGCGGATAAACGGATCTAATTACATAAATAGACAGATAGAGAGATAGACTGGATGGATGGATGGATGGATGGATGGATGGATAGATAGATAGATAGATAGATACACAGGTTTATGCTCTCTGCTTATTTTTTGTGGTCAACAAACCTAAGGTTCGAAATCAGAACCTTTTCCGAAGTCTTGCTTCAGGAGCCAGCAGTTGCTGGGACGGAACCGTTCGATGGATGCAGTTCTGGTGCCACTTCTGAACTGATGATGTTTTTCTTCCAGCATCAAGTAACATGTATATATATACACGTACAAATATATATTATATTATATATATATATATATATTATATTAGATTAGATTATATATTTATATGTGTACATATATATATAACATAAGCATACATAAACTGTTTGGTAGGTGGTTTCAAAATGTTTCAGCTAATTTTGTGACAATCTGTTGTGACCGGCAGAAACGAACGCATCCCGGCCGTGCGTTTATTCGGATGATCCCAACCAAGGAGAAGCGTTCCTGGAATGGGTTGACACCATCAGATCCAACAGAGTTTCTCTTGATGAAATGACCCTCTGGTAAACAAACATACAATGTGAGGCCCCCCAGTTATAAGTTGGTTTATAAGCCCCAGTAACTATAGTTATAAGTACCATAAACCATATAGTTATTGGAGTTATAAACCAACTTAGCTATCTTGGGGGCCTCACATTGTAGCTATTGAAAATGGCCATAGAAATAGTGGATTTGCACATGAATAGCATGGTGATTGTTCATAGTTGTTTGTATGTTTACCAGAGGGTACCCCAAAATTACCATGGCTTTCCCTATAGTTTCAACTGATACTAAAGTGTTGTTGCTTCGGGAAGATGGAGAATGACGGGTCCAGGCTCAACCGCTTCATGGCTTCGGGAACTTTGGCAATATCTCACAGGAAATGATGCTTCGGAATGTTTTCTTTGGGGGGCAATATCCATGGGTAGTATTCCAATTTGCTCAGATGCAAAAACAGACCGGTCCAGAAACTGGATTTGGACAGGACCTATGCAGGTGCTGGCAACCCAGGACTCGTTAGCCGCGAAACAAGACTGTTGGGATGACCTGGCTATTTGCGGGGTGGATTTTTGTGTCTTGGGTGGATGACTAGTAGGGGGTGGACGCCGTATGGATATGTGAACTTGCAATTGGCAATGATAGTTGGCCTCAAGATATCTCAAGCTTCCCGAACATGTGGCTACTTTTTCTTGGAGACTTTCGAGAAAAAGAATCAGAACTTCCAGTGTTTTCTCGCATTCTATAATATCTCTTTCAGCTGTCAACTAAGTCAACTACCTTTAGCCAACATGACAAAAATCCAAACATCAGCACTGTCGAACGAGGCGAATCATCTATGATAGATGGTCATTGCCAGGGCTGGGCTTGTCATTGAGGTATCCCAACCCCTATCCGAAATCATCCAAAATCACAGGTTTTCGGCTCATCTTCTCTATGGAAAAAAAACTGAAATAACATCAAATGCTGGAGTAAATACAGGATTATCAGGCAGCAAAGCCAATTTGCACATGGTTATTATTATCATTATTATTATCATTATTATTATCATTATTATTATCATTATTATTATCATTATTATGTTATCATTATTATAATATATATATATATAAATATCCCCATGATATTCCCATGATATCCCCATTTATTTATGGCTTAAATCCATGGTCCATCGCCAGGACTTCCTGGGTCAACTGCTGGTTGAGGCGAGCCGACAACGTCACGCAGCCGCAAGATGCCACGACGGCCTTCGGGGCCGCCCATGGTATGACCAAGCCATTGATTTTCCACCTTTCTAGGTCAAATGGGAATATTCATGGGATGCTTTAATGGGATTAATCCAGATATAATGGGAATATTGATGAATATTGATTATATGGGATACTTTAATCCAGATATAATGGGAATATTGACTACTGTATATAATGGGATATTTTGTATGGGAATATTGACTACAGATTCTGGGATACTTTATAATGGGATACTTTAATGGGAATATTGACTAGTTCCAGGGATATTCCCATTCTTTACATGGATACAAACTAATCCTAACTAGTCTTTTGGTAATGGGAATATCTACTAACCAGCAGAGAAATTATTTTTTTTGCAGGGTATCTAAGATTGGCAATGGTATGACCACGCTGTTTTTTTTTTTTCCGATAGCCCTATTCTAGGCAAATTTCTATTACCATCTGGTAAATTAACAGTTTGACCCCAAAAAGATCTATATAATTGATAGTAATTTTCGAGTGGAAACTCATCTTCCAAGCCCGACGAATGCCAGGGTCGAACTTTTAGTTTACTGGAGGGCAACTCATGGAAGCCAGAAAAATGTGGAGATGATGCAAGCAAGAAGCATCGCATGTGATTAAATGATATTAAATGAAACTTGCTTAATTACTGGTTTTAAAGATTCTTTGCCTCCAAACACCAGCAGATCCAGCTGCAGCCCTGGTGAATCCTCCCCCAGTGGTGGAGTTTTCCGCGGTTTCACGAAACTGTCTGAGGTGGGCTGTCCCAGGTCATAAGTCAGACCCTGGGCTTTGATGGCATGGAGTAGCTCAACAGCACGGGATGGCTGAGATTGAGATGGGATGTTTTGGGGATGGGAGAACAGGCCTGATGAGGGGGTAAGAGTAAGAGGGTAGCAAGTTGATACCCTCTGGTTGTTTAACATAGCCATGGTATAGATGGTCCATTTACATATGGTTCACCTATTAAAAATGGTGAATCTTTCCATGGCTATGTTAGTCATAACCAGATGGTACATTGTATAGTATAGTTGGACAATGTTGGACAATTCCTGGAGAGGTTGCCTTGCTCCTGCTACTGGGTGGATGCCGCGAAGAAGCATGTCAAAGATTGAACCGTTTCATGGGGCAATCACATCACTTGGATTCGGGATGCCCCATAGACATCACAGACAAAGCCACATTCGGAAAGCTCCAGGCGTTGGGTGTGCCAGGCTCCATTTAAAGCAATGATATATATATATATATATTTAATCCCATATACTGGCCTGAAATACAACCGCATGCACTTTTCCGCGACCTGTAAAATTCGAAGATGAATGGAGCGGTTCCAAAAATAAACACCACAAACAATTAGTTAGCAGTTTGAGAAATGAATGAAGCGCTCCTTTTCGGCTGTGATGCTTATGAGACAATATTTGTTGATCTGCCCACTGTTTAATATTAAAAAAGGTATTGTGTGGCTTCAGTGCCGAGGTTTTACATTGCAGAGGTCAGTGGCATAGAGGGAAGCTTGGACAGCAAGCAGAGAAGAAGGACTGAACGAGAGAAGGACTGAACAGGTGGAAGTTTCGGCGATTTTTCAACACTTTTGGCGTGTTTCCATACAATCATGCAATTCTGTGGAGTTACCCAAGATTAGTTAGAAGTTCTGATTGTTGAAGTCTATGTGTGTGTGTGTGATTGTGTGTGTGTGCGCGTTGGGGGTGGTACCAATTGTGAGCTAGATTTTACTGCGAGGGTTGTCATGTAAACATCAGGGCAAGTCCTGCTATTTTTTGGGCTCAAGAGGGAAGAAGCCTTAACAGCTGAACAGCATCTACTTTTGACACCTTGCAGCTTGCCCGTCGCAGTTGTGATCATGCAGCTTGCTCGTGCTATCGCCGTGATTTTCTTGGGCTTCTTTGCCTCCTGGTCTTTGCAGGGCTGCGGAGGCAAAGATAAGGACGACAAGCCTCAGGCGCTTTTCAAAATGTTTTCCATCACTACCCATCCATTGGTTTTCCCATGTTTTCCCAGTTGGCCAAAAAGATTCGATCCATTGAAACACTGGGTGCCATGGATTATGGCTGATGATTGGTCTTGTTTAGGGGCCGAAACAGGCTGACACATGTTGAAACTCTGTCAGGCCATTGTCACGACAACAGAGCCCATGAACACGACCACGACCGAGACCATGACAACCACCATGCTGTGATTTGAGGATGGCGTCTCGTCCCGCAGCTGGGTCTCGGACTGCTGCGATGAGCTGGGAGAAAAGATCAGCTGTGCTGTGTTTTCCCTAGAGATTTTTCGCCTCTAATTTGTAATTATTTCAGCAGGACGATTCACTGGGCCAGACTCTCGTTTTTGTTGCATTGAGACTCGTTGAGATTTGAGATGGTTGTTTTTTTGGTTGTTTTTGGTAGAAGAGACACAACTTTCACAACTTTCACTCTTGAGATGTGACTTCCTTTGAAAGCTATGAGATGGTGTGCAATCTGGGCCGATGAGTCCGGAGCCTTGCATATGCCATTGGCTCACGCGTCCAGCCTGTTGCAGAGTGCGCAGCGATGTTTGTGCACAGTATATCTATAACCAAATGCTCGGATGAAAAAGGTCCGAATCCAGTGGAGCTTCAGCTGTTGTTTTTGTGTTTTTTCATGCACCATTTGGTGGCATTTTGGGCATCAAGCATGGTCCATTTCATCGCCCCATCAACGCCCTTTCTGCTGAGGATGGAAATTTGGAGATTTGCTCTTTGCCCTTGGTTCCTCCATTCCCATCGGCTACATGAACGGTGCACAGGCGGAGATTGGAAGAGTTGTTGGTGAAGCAAAAGGCCATGGAGATGACAAAGTCACCATTTGAAGATGGCTATCTTGTTGAAACATGAGAAACACGGATTTCTGATGTGAGTTTTGGAGGATTTCCGGACTGTCTCAAAAACCCAAAACCGGAAACAGACGTGAATCCTACTTTGTGGATTTCTATGCTCACGATCAAAATCTGATCTTAAGTTGATCAAGCCTTAAGGAGAACGGTGTTCGACTTGCTGATATCTTTGCTATGGTTTTTCTATGGTTTTTTCTATGGTTTTGTCTGTGGTTTATCTATGGTTTTTCTATGGTTTATCTATGGTTTGTTCGATGGTTTTCTATCTGATTCTGCGAGGTTTTCTATGGTTTTTGTACCCTTTGTTCAAGGGGATGCAACAAGAAATCATTGGGTCATCTTCGGTGGCCAAAATTTGGCCCTGCGAAATAAAGGGTTCTTGCACTTGACCGGTGAAATATGTATAATAATAATAATATATATATACATTACATATATATATATACATATAATATATATATATACATATAATATATATACAATTTATATACACACATAGACACAATTCGAAATTGTTGCTTGAGGTCCCGGTTTTGATATCTTGACATGATTGATGACATTGACTATGACATTGACTATACAGTGCTCACAGGCCGTCCTAGTGCCCTCCATGGAGTACATCTTCACGGGTCACGAGCGCTTGATTTGCCTTTCCGAGGCGGGGGATCGGTGATTTTTTGGACCCCAAGAATGACGGCCATTTGAAGCGAGGTTCCAGTTTAACAGGGGTGAGGTATGATACCTACAACTACCAAAAAAGACCTGAGTTTTCAGGCTTGTATCCAATGATGTTAGGGTCCCCTATATTTGTAGAGTTGGTCTCCTGATTTGTAATTAGTGAAAAACATTAGGAACCCACCCCTATGTGTTTCGTAGTGATTTCATTTTGGATGCATTTTTGGCTGTTTGTTCCTCTAATGTCCATAGGGGTTTTGTCGGATAGGTGGACTATGATATTTGTAGAATTGGTAGGTCCCAGAGTTTTGTAGTGACAGTATGTGTGAACTGTTTTGCTTATATAATTCTGCTGTGCATACATTTTATGTACTGTATCACTTGGTACTATTACATAATTGACGAACTGTTGCTTGATTAATGACTATGAAATGTGTGCATGTTTGACGTCAATATCAGTGCTTTAACCAGCCTACAATCCCAGAGATTTGAGCCAATGATAACTGGGAAAAAGTCACAACTCCTGGCATAATAAATTTACTGGGAAAGCGGCCATTGAAATAAGGTTCATTACAAGTAACATGTGTTTTTTACCGTATATTTTTTTTGTTTGTTTATTCCGTTATTTTATCCACTAAAAGACATGTGTACCTATGAGCTATTGCAGATCTTATGCATTCATTCTATATTCATTATACTTTTTCATCTTTCATATATCATTTTTTTAACAGTGAATGTGGCTAAGTATTTTTTATATTCAACATCTTACGGTTTTTGATGCAATAAAACAATATCAATGGTGTATATTGTACTACAAAAATTACTTTACTTCGTGTGATCCCCACCATGACATTTATACATTTTCTTACTAGCAAATCTTCTGGCATTCTATCTGACATATCTTCTGACATTCTATTTGACATTCTATCTGGCATATCTTCTGGCATATGATCTGGCATATCTTCTGGCATATCTTCTGGCATTCTATCTGGCAAATCTTCTGGCATTCTATCTGGCATATCTTCTGGCACTCTATCTGACATATCTTCTGGCATTCTATCTGGCATATCTTCTGGCATATATTCTGACATATCTTCTGGCATTCTATCTGACATATCTTCTGGCATATATTCTGACATATCTTCTGGCATATCTTCTGGCATATCTTCTGGCATATCTTCTGACATATCTATCTGGCATATCTTCTGGCATATTTTCTGGCATTCTATCTGGCAAATCTTCTGGCATTCTATCTGGCATTCTATCTGGCATATCTTCTGGCATATTATCTGGCATTCTATCTGGCATATCTTCTGGCATATCTTCTGACATTCTTTCTGACATTCTTTCTAACTTTCTTCTGCACATTCTTTGTCCCATATCTTCCTACATGAGGTCCGGCAGGGAACACTTGGCGTGGATACTCGCGGTTGAGGTCCGGCAGGGAACACTGGGCGTGGATGGTCGTGGTTGAGGTCCGGCAGGGAACACTGGGCGTGGATGGCCGTGGTTGAGGTCCGGCAGGGAACACTGGGCGCGGATGGTCGTGGTTGAGGTCCGGCAGGGAACACTGGGCGTGGATGGTCGTGGTTGAGGTCCGGCAGAGAACACTGTGGATCGCGGGTCGCAGTTGAGCAAGGACGACGAGGACGACGAGGACGACGAGGAGGACGACGAGGAGGAGGAGAGGAGGACGAGGCAGGAGGAGGCGGAGAAGGAGGAGGAGGAGAAGGAGGAGGAGAAGGAGGAGAAGGAGGAGGAGGAGGAGGCAACTGACATAAAATCTAACAACCCTCACCTGGCAGGTGGGGAAAAACATTGTTGGGTGATCCGTGAATCTAGTTCCTGGCATGTCTTGTTTTCTCTACACAATGATTTTCAACTCAAAGAGGAAGACCCAAAAATTCAAGTTCAAACTGGGCCTGATTTCTTATTTGTTTTCTAGGATAGCTAGGACCCCTAGAAACCTAGAAACTCAACCACCTACGAAAATCATTTGGGAGACCCCAGTTATCGCAACCTATGGTTTGTAGCTACAAAAGGGGGCCCACCCTACCCCCCTAAATTCCAACCCCGATCCATTTGAGATACAGTAATTTAGGTTGCTATATCGAACGTTGGACGGATGGGGTGGGTATCATGTTATATCGAACCAGAGCGGCATATGACAATAGAATAGAAGAGAATAAGGAACAGTAGTGGGGCGTGCTGGCTATCAAGAATAGAGGGGTCATGGTGAGGTTGGTTTGTGGTACGAGAGGTGTTTTCTCCATGTTCACTTACGATATCTTACGATGATGAAAAAAATGGCGCATGTATTTGGGATTGGGGTGAAACCACGAAACGGTTCCAGTACTTACAAAAGCTGTGTCGCATGATGTTTCATTGAATCTCATGCCAGGATAGTTTCTATCAACAGTGTAACAGGAAACCGGGGTGAGGGCCGCTGCGAATTATGTGGCAAGGAAGCAGACAAATTTGGAAATGTATTTGTCTCACTAGAGACTAACATCTTCTGAGGCGATGATGCAGGCACCCCTCTGAAGCATTCTGGAGCTTCCTAGGGTCTAGTTTACTGGATTTGGGTCTAACAATTCATTACGCCCTTACATGATATGAGTATTTGGACAACCCCAATGGATGGTGAAGTTCCTCCCAAAGTGACAGGACGCGTCCACGTTGGTGAAAAGCATCACACCAGGAGAGAAAGAGACCGGGGAAAAATGGCTTTGGAGGGTAGAGGGATCAGAACCTCGCGAGAGGGTTTGAAGAATAGGAAGAGAATCAGTGACATGTATAACATATATATATATAATGAAAAGAGGATAGCACATATATTCCATATAGAATCACAATGAAACATGATGTTATGTATCAGTGTATGTGTATGCTACGTATCTATATGTAGATATGATGGCTGAATTATTAAGCTGGTTTCAGCTGGTTTGTCACTGGGATAAAAGAGGCAACGGGGATATTCCTGCATATTTACATCTGGCTGGTGGTTTCAGATCTGTTTCATTCGATTCATTCGCCCCATTCTGCCAAGCGCCAACCGCCAAACATCAACATGACCTGATGGTTACCTGATTGGGTGGATGACATGAACATTCAACATGGAATGATCCCAATTGACAATCATATGTTTACCCTCTGGTAAACTAACATAGCTATGGAAAATCACCATTTTTAATGGGAAAACTCACTATAAATCACCATTTTCAATAGCTATGTTAAATTACCAGAGGGTACTATAAGGGATGGCAGGCTCCACTGAAATATCTCTGCGGATCCAGTTTTTTGGTCACTCCAGGGATGCGAGAGAAGGCGATGAAAGCAAAACATGTCAGATGGTCTGCAGCCAAAAGTCTACCAGGCAGACGATTTTTTGGAACGCTGCAGGAACGATAGCACTGGGGAAAGCGGTGATTATATGGGCACGATTTGATGGTCTTTTCATCCCAAGAAACAAACTTCAATAGTGAGATATGGTTGTTTTCCCAGTTTGTTGAAGCTGAAGAACCTGGCAATTTAGGTGTGTATAAGACCTAAAGGACCCTAGTCCTAAGTTATAGTCCCCTGCTCCGCCAACGATTTCAAGATAGTTTTTACCAACTACTTGCATTTGCATGCGAATCGAGATGCGGCTAAGCCAAGTTCTAAGTTAGATAATGTATATATATATATACATATATACGGATAAATAATATATATATATATAGTTACATATGTATATATATATATAATATACATATATATATATATATATGGGGATATATGGGGTGGTTTTCATCCAGTTGCCAACTAGGACGCGCATCCAAGAAGGGACCACTTTTTATTTGGGGTCCGCATCTGCAGGTTCCGTTAAAGAACAGGCGCTGGGGAAGGGAATCATAGCTGGGAATGTCACGATTCGCCAATACGTTTGGGAGAGGAACATGGATGATATGTCAACTCCTGATTAATAACCTCCTAGTATGTCTTTGCTGGGAGGGGGCATTTCATTTGCAACTTAGCAACTTATCACTATTTGTGGGGAACCTGACTAGTTAGTCAACCAGGGCTTGTTAATCCGGGTTGACTTTGATTGGCAACTGCCAAATACTTTGATGGGAACAAAGAGATACATTATTGGTCCATAGCCAATGTGAAGAGCAAGGAGCATCCGCAAACCACAATCGACCAAGATGTGGATTTTGCCGATTCTACTGGGTTTGTTTGAAAAGTGGGGTATGCCCCTAAACGTCATTTTGATAGTGGTTAACCATGATTAACCCATGGATTGAGGGGCATCATACTTGGCATCATTCCTTGGCAGCCATCTATATTTGGCTGACACTGGCAATCACTAGGGCACTAGGGGAATAGAGCACCGCCCAAAAAGATACTAGTAGATTAAAACATTGATTAAAACCCGCCCAAAAAAAGTAGTCGTAAATCAATGGTTTAACCAATGTAAATCGAATCTATATCTTTGTGTCTTAATCGTGTTTGGTCTTCTTAAAATCAATCATATTAAATAATCTATGTTTGTTTCCTAATCATGTTTGGTTTTCTTGAAATTTACAGGATATTTCCCCAAATATCATCATCATCATCATCATCATCACCCTCAACATTATCCTGCATCATCAACATCATCATCATCATCACCATCATCACCATCACCATCATCATCATCATCATCATCATATTCCGCAATATTACACTGCATCATCATCATCGTCGTCATCATCATCATCATCATAATCATCATCATCATCATCATCATCCTCAACGTTGTCCTGCACTACCATCATCGTCATCGTGATCATCATCATCATCATCGTCATCATCATCATCATCATCACCATCATCATCCTCACAGTTTTCCTGCATCACCATCACCATCATCATCATTATCATCATCATCATCACCATCATCACCTTCATCATCATAATTATCATCATCATCATCATCATCCTCAACGGTTTTCTGCATCACCATTATTTTCATCATTTTCTTCTTCATCATTATCATCATCATCATCGTCATCATCATATTCCGCAATATTACACTGCATCATCATCATCGTCGTCATCATCATCATCATAATCATCATCATCATCATCATCATCATCCTCAACGTTGTCCTGCACTACCATCATCGTCATCGTGATCATCATCATCATCATCGTCATCATCATCATCATCACCATCATCATCCTCACAGTTTTCCTGCATCACCATCATCATCATTATCATCATCATCATCACCATCATCACCTTCATCATCATAATTATCATCACCATCATCATCATCATCATCATCCTCAACGGTTTTCTGCATCACCATTATTTTCATCATTTTCTTCTTCATCATCATCACCATCATCACCTTCATCATCATAATTATCATCATCATCATCATCATCATCCTCAACGGTTTTCTGCATCACCATTATTTTCATCATTTTCTTCTTCTTCATCATCATCATCATCGTCATCATCATCCTCAACATTATCCTGCAGTATCATCCCACCCACGCTCTGTGGGAATAACTGGATAACTGGATGACTACTGGATGCAGGTGGCACACGAGAGCATCACCGTGATCATCGGATGGAACGAGGGCATTGGCTCCATCGTGTTGCTGGGCATTTCTGTTGGTGCTTTGATGTGCTTCCCAGGTCTTTCCAAGATGAAAATGATGAAAACTATCAGAAAACGATGAAAACTATAAGAAAACTCTTGAAAAGAACACTGTAGATTCATATCATTTCATATTCAGAATCAACATCATCAAATTCGCCAAGTCAAGAATAGACTTACTGAACTCGAGTGCCATCCCTGAGTACCATGCGACGGTCTTGTCATACATCTCACATTCATTTTGGAGGTTATGGACAAGAGTCGTTTGAAGACTATATATGGAGAGAGAGAGAGAGAGATATATATATATATATATACATATGTGGGATCCGGTCAAAAACCCCTAGTGAAGAAACATAGATCACGTTGCGAAACGAATTGCGTACGTTAGGTTATCTTTGTTATTTTGTGGTCCAGGAGTCTAGCACGGTTTTGGGAAAAGGCATGTCGACCAACCACCCATATACATTATTTTACACCATGTATCAAACATTGTATATTCATGTATATTGCACATGTTGTTGTTTCGTGTCATACTATGCAAATTATATCATATGGGGGTTCTCAAGTCATGGTGGATCAGTCGTCACCATTGTTGTTTCAATACTAAGTCATTAATTTCATCCATGGCGGCTGGATGATCACTATTGATTTCATGGATTTGTCCATAAATGGTTTCCTAAGTCATGGGAGTAGCCCAATGACTGGATGTTTTAGACATGTTCAATGGCTGGATGTTTTAGACATGTTTTATAACGATGTCATAATGGAAAAGCACGATCTTAGTATAACCATATTATACATATAATTATATATATATTGATGTTTGAGCCTACGGGTTGAAAACCGAACCAGCGTTTTGCATGTTTTTATGTCATTCATGGGGTTAACGGGGTGGGGTGGGGTGGGGTAATAACGTTCATTTGCACTTCCTCACATATATGATGCTACGTTATTGTGTGTGGTGGGGTGGGGTGGGGTGGGGTAATAACGTTCATTGGCACTTCCTCACATATATGATGCTACGCTACTGTATGTCGTCTTGCACTTCCTCACATATATGATGCTACGCTACTGTATGTCGTCTTGCACTTCCTCACAGATATGATGCTACGTTATTGTATGTCGTCTTGCACTTCCTCACATATATGATGCTACGCTACTGTATGTCGTCTTGCACTTCCTCACATATATGATGCTACGCTACTGTATGTCGTCTTGCACTTCCTCACATATATGATGCTACGCTACTGTATGTCGTCTTGCACTTCCTCATGAGAGATTTGTATCAAAACCTTGAGATGAGTTTTGAACGCAATGCACGCCAGGGATCTTGAGAGATGCACATGGAGACAAAAAGAGTGCATGGAACGCTTTTCCACCTGCTCTTGGCAGTGGAGATGGGAAAACAGTTCCCACAAAAACCTGTCCAAGCTCACTGGAGACATTGTCAAGAACACTTAGCGCAGAAAAAATGAGACTGCCGCTGAGGTTTTTTACATTTCCAGTTAAAAGTACGCGCGTACTTTTTAAGGAAATTGAACTTTCAGGGAGATGCAAAACCACTGTGATTTGTGGTATAAAACCAATGACGAACACTGCAAACGTTGAAAACGCGGGTTCGATAAACAACCCGCCGGGATGTTTGACATACTAACCATGTGTTCTGTAGACATGTTATAAAACATGTTTTATAATGATGAATTATCATGATGATATATAATTCTTTGATTATGTTTCATGGTAATGGGATTCTTTTCCCCAAGAATGGAATGATAACATTAGGATTTTCCATTCGTAGTGGAATCATTACTTCCAGTTATAAGTTTTTGGTAATCATTCCAGTTTTAGTTTTTGGTAATCCTTATCATTAGGATTTTCCATTATCCATTAATTACCAGTTGTCTCTAGGGATCATTATTGGTTCACTATGGAAAATCCTAATGTAACTAGAAACTAAATTCACTAGGGGTGTTCTGTTTCACTACCAGTTACACGTGTTTTATGGAAAATCCCCAAAAAGTGAATGTTGGATGATCGCTGGGGCTATCCGACACCGAGTTCGTTAGGCACGAAGTGGACCAGGCTGTAGGACCCAACTCCACCGTGCCTTGGATCGCTTGGAGCCCGGAAGTTCACCGGAAAAGATGGAGCAAAGGCCGAAACCCATGGGAAAACCATGGAAAAACCATGGAAAAATGGTGAAATCCACCATGTTTTTGGGGAGAAATCTGGATGAACAACTTTTAAAACCATTGAAACTGTGATTTCTCCTGGATAAAAAAACAATGAAAAACGTGTGACTTTAGCACCCTTAGTGGTGAGTTAGCCAGTCCAAATGAGGGTTTACCATTTTGGGGGAATTTTTTTTGGGGGTTATCCTGGATCAAAATTGGGACTGTCGATTTTGATCATGCAAACATTTGGAGGTTCACCACCCTAGGAGGCACCAGAGCTAGGATGTGGCAAACCACATGAGTTAGGTGGTTAAGAGCTAAAGAGACATAAAACGACCCCAAAAAGGTGTTGTTTAGGTGATGTTTAGGTGATGCCCTTTTCGTATCCAGAGCAACATTTATTTTGACCTGAGAGGCATGAACATCCATTATTTTTGGGGGGTTCCGGCCATCCTATTTGATCCATCTTCAGCTGGGTTAGACATGGGGATATATACATATACTATAAATATCGATATATTACGTATAAAATTACGTATACATTGGAACAGCAGGGAACCTCTTGAGATTATTTACATATTGATTATATAAGATTTAATTATTTCAAATATAATATATATATATATGATACATTTCTGTTACGCGTATACATATACTCGGTATAGTACAACATGTTAGTAAACATGTTTAGCAATGTAGATGCAGCCACCAAGTCAACTGGGAAGCCTCAACTCCCAGGTGATGATCTACTCTCCTCAGGATGAAGATGTCAGGGAGGAGTATCTGGATAAGTGCCAGGTACGACTCAATTATAAGTACCAAAACGTGACAGTCACTTGACGTGGTCGAAGTTGTTTTTGTTCAGTATGGATAGCTGAGGGCCGCGGGTACGAAAACTGTGATGAAGAGGGGAGCTTAATTTGCTGAATCATCTAATAGTTTTGAAAGCTGGTTGGTGGTTTGGAACATGAATTTGATTTTTCCATTCAGTTGGGAATGTCATCATCCCAACTGACGAACTCATATTTTTCAAAGGGGTAGGTATACCACCAACCAGGTTTAGAAAGCATAAGTGGTGGTTCTTTGCCTTATTTTTTCGTTGATTTGCCACGTGACTTGCTGCGGGGTTTTTCATCATTAGCTGATGAAAACCTCGAGCGAGAGCGACTGAGTGTGTCCTGGGAAGCCTTGCTGACTGATATGACTTAAGAAAACAATTGGAGTACATATATATATATATATATACAAGGTGGTGCCCCCCAGTTATAAGATGGTTTATAAACCCCATTAACTATAGTTATAAGTACCATAAACCATAGTTATTGGAGTTATAAGCCAACTTAGCTATCTAGGGGGCCCCACCTTATATATATATTATACTATATTATACTATACTATATTATATTATATTATATTTTATTATATTATATTATATTATATACATGCATATAATTTCATATGTATATGTATGTGTATATATATAATGTATTGTGTTAATTAGCTCACCAGGAAATTCAAGGAAACGCGTTTCTGTTGGTATCCAACATTTGCAAGCATTTGTATGCATTTGTGGGTGCTTGCTGTACTGAAAGAACATGACAATTTTTGGACGCGGTTTTATGTAGGGTTCCATTTAGTGATACTACAATGAAAGCTTTCTTGAGTTGAGGTGTGTCGAACTGATTTTGGGGAGATTTGATCAAGCGCAGTTGCAGTTTTTAAAGAGGGTTCCCTTAGATTTGCCCATCTTCTCATCATCTGCACCCCCCAAGAAAAGGATTTGTCCGAAAATATGGTGTTGTTGTTTTTTCGTAAGATTGCCATAACTGGTGGGTTAAGCCCTGTTTCTAGACCCACTTCTGGATCCGTAGATTAGCTGAGGTGGAACATGAACAAGGAGCCCTGGGCGCCAGATACAGGTGCCTTGCTTCAAACATCTTCAGGCGCCCTTTCTGTGCCGGCTTCGGCAGCACCACATAATTATATGGCGATTCCAGCAGGTATGAAGTGATCGGTACCCCGTTGATCGGTGATCCGAGGTTGGAAGCGTTGCCCTTGGAAAAGGCTCAGCAGCTTGGCTGTCCAGATGGAGTTCTGTCGGATGTAGCCCACAACCAATCCATATGGTTCTGGGTAAATTATAACGACCTCACTGTTCTCCCGAACCCTGGAATTATGGTTAATAAGGGAAATTATCCCCAAATGGCCGCAAGATTCAGGCTAGTGAACTGTTATAATTTACCCGATGGTTGGTCGTTTTTTTCGGGGGATGAAACCACCAGCTAGATACAATCTAGATACGTTGAGGTGTTCATCTGGCCCATACAGTATCAGATATCAGATATATCGATACCGGGAAGCATATGTTGAGGTGGCGGGTTCATCTTGAGTGCAGAATTTAAGGATTATCAAAGACAAAGCATATGGGAGTTTTTGTACTGGAAGGAAAACTCTGAAGCCGGCTCTCTTCGCATTTTGACATTGTCAGGAGGGCCGATGGCCCAAAACTTCCGTTGTTTGTGCGTCCATTGAGGAAAATCTTTATCCTCGCCGAGAAGATGGTCGAATGTGAAGATGAGAAAGAGCTTTGTTATGCATTGATTCTACCGTGGATGGCCATGGCCGCCATGGCCATGGCTGAGTTGCGCCAGTAGCCATGGGATAGCACCAGCTCTGGTACAGTGTTTGTAAACGTTCATTTTTTTTACAATAATTCTTTCGCAATTCAACTTAAATCATCTTAACTCTGTACCTGACTTTTAGATTTCGATCCTGCAACATGGACGTTTGATGATCTGTCACTTGTGAGAAGGCTTCTTCGATGTTGGTGATTTGATCTCTAAGATCACAGATCTCAAATAGATGAGGTGATGCTTCAGGAACCGATTTAACGAGCTTTCATCTGGAATGTGGCTCAGTAGTTCATGTTGATTCCATTGAATCAATCAGGTATGGGTCAATACATGTCACTACCACCCCCAACTTGGGGATGATATTCACATGTATTCACATCCCAACATACTCCAATTTGTCGCCCATTCTGCTGTGAGCCACGAGGATCGCCTCACAGTTGCAACGCTGTTGCAAGTGCGCGACATTTTGAGAGTTCGTGGCACCTGCAAACCCGACTTAGCCACCTGCAGCGGATCATTCGCTAAACTGCTCAACATCTCTGTGGTATGGGGTTGGGTCTACCCAGCTTTGGGGTGTAAAAAGTATAAATTGTAAGTCGCCTCCATAATATATATATATATATATATATATATATATTGTCAATTGATGTCAATTGAATGAAATTGGCACTTGCAACTATCGCACATTTCCCCCATAGGATCGTGAATTATTTTATGCGTGTGGGGTTCGTTCCCATCACATTGCAGTGGTTCAGCTCCAGCACACCTTGACCGCTAGTTCTGTGATGTTCTGGCTCCATACCATGGAGCTAAAAATTAGGCACGGCCCAAAGATAGAAGGGCGTAGGGTGTACTATATACTGTATTTGTTTCTATGTATTGTACTATTGTATACTATTGTACTCTATATTGTACTATATTGTACTGGTTGGTGGTTTGGAACATTTTGTTTCCATATATTGGGAATGTCATCATCCCAACTGACTAATTCCAACCAGGATCAAAATAACTATGGAAAATCACCATTTTCAATGGGTAAATCCACTATTTCTATGGCCATTTTCAATAACTATGTTAGCCATTACCAGAGGGTATCCAGTATCCGTTAGTAGCCATTAATAACCATTAATAAGCATTAATATCTATCGTTATTGTTATCTAAAACCACCAACCAGTGTAGTATTTTATGATATTGCACAGAATTATACCCTTGGATGGTTTCTACCACATTTATGGTGATTTAGGGGATTGTTTAATCATTATATATATATACACATATAATATATAAATACCATGCCAAGAATGACCCTTTTATCCGCTCCCTCCGATCGTTCTGAGGTCATCCTGCCACAGGTCCTGGGCAAACGTGCTGAGAAGAATTGCTGGAAGCCACCCGGCGCAACGGCGCAGCGTGTCCATCACCAAAATTGAGTAGGATCGAAGCATTTTTGGGCCATACCCTGACATACATCGCATGGAAAACCATAGCAGTTAATGAGGGTTAATGATGGTTAATGATGGTGACATACTGTTAGATTACCAGACGATAGTCCCATAGTTGGGTCGTGCTGGAACTAGAATTGTCAGCAATTGAAATGACATGAAATGACTATGTGTGAGTACTGACTGAGTAGTGGATAAGCAGCTTAGGCACTCAGGTGATGGTTACGGTGGAGAATGCTTCCAATGTTGTGTTTGACCGTTTGAGCAACGGGTTGGATATAAATATGATGGTATGTATACAAGGAGTACAATGTTTTTACGTAGCGTGAGTTGTCATGTGAAACCATGTGGAACCATGTGAAACCTCTAAATGCAAGCTGACTACTTCGCAGATGGCCTTTGAAACAGCAATTGCTGGCGTTGCGGTGCTACAAGGAGTGGCTTGATCGATTACATCAATTCCAACCGACTCGCTTGTCAAGTGCTTGCTCAGGTGCGGCTACTGTGAGCTCTCGGGGATGTTTTTTTTCGGATCAAGGTCAGTCAACTCACATCAATTCACTGCGTTTGGACTCGGGAAGGATATGCATATGCCACTTTTACATGGGTCTTGAAATGTTCACGAAAAAAATGTTCCTATAAAAGGTGAAGTTCATGTAAAGGTATGACAAGATTGGGTTTGTCTGAAACTGTGGTATCCCGTATGCCTAACAATTTAAGCCAATCTAGACTAACAAATGAATTATCAATTTGCCGTATTAAAACGGCTATTTTTCTGAGGGTGTTTTTTTCATGCGCCTTTTTGACAATGTCCTTTTTTCCCAAGCCATGACCGCAGGTTTGCCAGAGTCGGGAGTCCCAGACAGTCCCGGGGCGTCCTGGAAGATCTGGAAGTTGGAATCCTGATGGCGCATTCGACTGGAGAGATCTGGAGAGTTTCTGCAATTCATGAATAATTCATTCATGCTGATTTGTTTTTTGTTTTAAAGAACTTGTTCATGTTAGTGAAATATGAACCTTTGTTTGAATGTGGCTCCAATATGTCTTGTTTGTGAGTGGGAAAGAACTGGAGAGTTTGTAAATCTATGTAAATCTTTAGGGACCTCAATAGCCGAGGGATACTGAGGGTAATCGTATCTCAATGGCCTTTAATCTGGTTCGGTTTGAAATGGATCATGAAATATCTGGATAGTTCTGTAAATCTTAAATCTGGCCCGATATTCGGCACTGTGGCACTATGGCTTTGTTCCTGATCCTGGCCTCTTATTTCTTTTGAGATCTTCGCACGACCTAGGCCCTTCGATTTGTAGCTTATTTGCGGAGCTTCTATTGGGCAACACTGCTCGGACGCTGGCCCAATCACTGGATGTTGCCAAAATGATCCAATCATATCAAATAATAATTATCAACATATATAGATGATACTTATTGGCTATATAAGTTAAACAGATCTATATGTCCAATCCAGTTATATGTGGACATCTAGATTGTCATCCAATCATATTGGAAATATGTATATATATATATATCTATAATTATCTGAAAAAAGGGGGAAATCCTGCCGAATATATCTCCACAAATGAGCACGTCTATCACAGAACCAGGGCTGGCAAGAAAGGTTACTGCAGCAGAGATCAATATTTGGACTTTTCTGATACTGTGTTCATCTGGGTTCTGAACATTTCTTGGCGCCCAAAATGAGCATTTTCCCTATCTTTTGGTGAACATAACGTGGGAATCCACTACGTTCATCCATATGGTGGAAGTCTCCATGCACTGTTGGGCTAACTGCTAAGCCGGCTTTGGACGCCCTCAATCTTGAGTTTGTCCAATCAGCGAATCTTGCTCATTTGAGATAATTTGGACAAGTAGTGGAGAATTACAACTTTCAGATAATTAACTAAGTCAAACATCACGTTCAGGGGCTAGGGTTTTGTAAGCCATACAATCCATGGCAATTTATCAGAGGCTTTCACACAGATTTGCCGGGTTTCCCCCAACAAATCACCTAGACCCTGTTGGTCTTAGATCAGACCTCCTTTCCATCCGCCCATCAGAATTGTGACATCCCACGATTCTATCCGTGAGCATATCCAGTGATACCGATACCATTGCATATCAATGAATAATATATATATATATAGCGATCCGTTGATTGACAACATAATTATATGTCATCTCATATATACATATTACATATTACTATATTATTTTTATACACACAGACCCCGAGGTTTGCCTAAGCCCAGAATAGCACAAATACCAGGGAATTCTGTTCGACGTCAAACAACGGAAGATGTTGCTAGGGTGTTAACCAGAACATGTTGCTTCTACACATATCATACAACCAGAACATGTTGCTCCTGCATATCATATGGAATTAACCATACACTCATTAGGGTTTCTTACAGGGTTTGAAGAAGAGATCAAAACCCCCCACCCCCATGGAACAATTAGCCATACAGTCATTGTGGTTTCTTATAGGGGTTCAACAAAATATCAAAATCCCCCGCCCCCATGGAACAATTAGCCATACAGTCATTATCAGGATGGCGAAGACCAGCCCTAGATCAGCAGGGTTTTAGATCAGTAGGGTTTTCAGCATTCCCCAAAAGTCAGAAAGAAGATGTTTCCTGAAAAAACATGTTTCTTTTTGAAACATTTGAGAAAATTTGGGATCGGATAGGTAAACTTTCTTGAAGGAACCTCTTGCCACTTGACCAAGTGCCTCTTGCAAATTTCCTTTTTCAGCATTTTCTGGGCGCCACTTGTGACGTCGCCACTGACATTTGGGAGACGATCACCTTGTACTTGATTTGAATGTTGATGCTTTGCTGGCCAGTGACACTTGTTTGTGCAAATAAAATCCCATCCAAAATTGATACAGAATGTTCTCAAAAGTTTTCACACAGGCGCGCAAAAAGGGGGACTAGATCGGTAGGGTTTTTCACACAGGGCTCTCTGGCTGACATTGCACAAATCGATTTTGGGGAACAGTTCCCTCCTTGGTTTTGACAACTTTCTCCTTTTCTGGATGCGTTGGATGACACAGCGGAAAGCAGTCGCATGAGGGACCACCACACCGTTCATGAGGGCATGCCCTTCAACTTGTGCAGAATTACACGTTCCTTGGTTTGGGTTCAACATGGTTCCAACTAAAGTTATTATACCTAACCCCTCCGTTGCCTTAAGTACCCCGTATTAACTTAGCTCTTTGGTGGCTGGGGATCCTTCAGCTTGTTTATGAGACACAATTATTAGAAAACAACTTCTAGCACCATGTCAAGGCACTGCAAGCCGATGAGCTCTAGTTTCAGCATGCTGCTTTATGTGGGACAGCCAGACTTTTCCTCGGCCTCTTCCACCTAAGCGGCATGATAGCTGACAGCCAGCACTGATCAATCCCAGTGGGTTAAATGAAGCCATTTCCACTGCATGACTTCCAATCATTCCAAATACAACAAACAAGATTTACTGGGTTTGAGATTCATTTGAACAAAAAGAAAATCTCAGTCTCAAAATCTTGGGTTCTGGGGTACCATTTTTTTGGTTAAAAAAAGGCAAAAGGCAAGGCACCGTTGCCAGATGCCCACAGTGAACTCACATTTGCCTTTTGGCAGATTTTGCACAGGCTGCCATGTGGGCCAGCCAACCTTGACCGAGGGAAACTCCTGCTTTCACGAAAGGCCATACACTTGAGCTGGCAAGTTGCTTTGCTGGCCATGGCAGCGGACTAAGACCCAGGGCATGAAAGAATCTCCAAATGTTCATTTCCGGTGACTTCTGATGATATCTATGTGTAGGTTCTGATGCTGCTGCTGCTGATGATGATGATGATGATGATGATGACGATGACGACGGTGATGGTGATGATGATGATGATGATGATGACGATGATGATGATGACGACGACATCGATGATGGTGATGTTGATTGTGTTGTTGATGGTGATGACCATGACGATCGTGATGATGATGAAGAAAACAAGAAGATGGCAATGATGATGCCACAGTACCAGAGTAGGGTGAAACTATTTGGAGCCCTGGGGCGCATAAGCACTCAGTGATGGATAAAACAGTCTTGTAGCCTATGTGTGTCCAAATGCTTTCAAGTTGCGATTGTTGCCAAAGCGCGGCAGAACACAAATTACATTGTTTAGATGGGATCCCCCAGTAGCCCCCCTAAGTCAATAAAGCTGAGCAAATCCATACAAATCCCAAATTACACAAAAAAATAAAAAAGACACCATTGAAACTTAGAATTAAAACCACATCCCAACATATAGTCATTATCCGAATAAATAATATGGTGCATGCTTTTTTCACCGTGTTTTTTTTTGGGTTTTCTTTCCACATCACTTAGATAATATGAACCCGTAATCACCACAGTTCTTGGGGATCTCACCCTGGCTCATTTGGGCCATCCGGCTGGCCCAAGGTGAACACCTGGTCAGAGGCAATCGGTCCGTGGATTCACGGATCAAAAAAAGGTAGTGAACAAAACACATAATCAAGATGTTTGCTTTGGGGCCCTGGATTCATGTATTAAAAAAGATAGTGAACAAAACACATGAGCTCCTCACAGATCAGGATGTGGGATAGATGTCGGATGATGGCAATATTATTGTTCTTGTAAATTACAGTATGTTCTTGGCAAGATTTTGGAACTGTGATTTTTTTCCCCACCTGCCAGGTGAGGGTTGTTAGATTTTATCACAGTTGTTCTCGGCTAGCTATCCTCCTCCTCCTCCTCCTCCTCGGCTAGCTATCCTCCTCCTGCTCCTCCTGCTCCTCCTGCTCCTCCTGCTCCTCCTCCGCCAGCATCTCCCCCACCACCTCTGCCTCCACTTCCACGTCCACTGTTGCCTTGCCAACTCTTCGCCAAGCTCTTCGCCAACGTCCGAGCTCAGTGCGCACCGCTGGACCTCAAACTGGGACCTTCCCAGCTCAGTGTGCACCGCTGGACCTCAACCTGGGACCTGCCCAGCGCAGTGTGCACCGCTGGACCTCAACCTGGGACCTTCCCAGCTCAGTGTGCACCGCTGGACCTCAACCTGGGACCTGCCCAGCTCAGTGTGCACCGCTGGACCCCAACCGGGGACCTTCCCAGCTCAGTGTGCACCGCTGGACCTCAACCTGGGACCTGCCCAGCTCAGTGTGCACCGCTGGACCTCAACGGCCAGATAGAATGCCAGAAGATATGCCAGATAGAAAGCTATAAGATATGCCAGATCGAATGCCGGAAGATATGCCAGATAGAATGCCAGAAGATATGCCAGAACATATGCCAGAAGATATGCCAGGTAGAATGCCAGAAGATATGCCAGATAGAATGCCAGAAGATATACCTGATAGAATGCCAGAAGGTATGCCAGATAGAATGCCAGAAGATATGCCAGATAGAATGCCAGAAGATATGCCAGATAGAATGTCAGAAGGTATGCCAGATAGAATGCCAGAAGATTTGCCAGTAACAGGATGTATAAATGTCATGGTGGGGATCACACGAAGTAAAGTAATTTTCAGCATTGACATTGAGATTGGATGCCAATGTGTTGTTTGGCCCAACAACCCAAACAGGTGGGCCAATTGGGGCCATGGATGCGTTGGCATCATCATCTTCTGGGGGCACAATTGGGGCCATGGAACAATCTGCACCATCATCTGGACCGTCTGGGTATCGAGCGGATGAAGACCCAGAGCTGGTTAGAAATGTCATGGTCAAGTCCACTGAGAGGCACCTATGTTTGTTAATTTTCTTCGGACCCTTGTTTTTCATTGTTGTTCATTGTTAGTTTTCTTTGTTTGTTAGTTTTCTTCGGCCCCTTGTTTGTTAATTTTCTTCTTAGAAGTGCTTTCAACATGGCCGTGAAGCCCAGATTCAAAGAAGTGCTTTTGCAATGGCCGCACCAGATTGAAAGCACTTATGGATACTTATGGAGATTTAAAGCACTGTGTGTGTGAGTGGCAACCGGCTAAGCCCAGAACCGGCGTGTCGATCATTTGAATTTTCCAACAGTTTCACTTTGGCAACTACACTGGCTATGGCGATGGTAGCTCTTTGACACCTTTTCGGGCCCCTTCACCGACCCATTCCTGTCAGGTTTAATGGAAGCGTTTTTGCACGTAAGGTTCATTCCACACCAGAATTCGCAATGACAGTGTTGAGCAAGTGTGCGTTTGTGTGTCAAGTACAAGGCCCAAGCTACTTGTGGCGGCGGCCGACACTACTTAGTGGACGCGTGACGCGTGGTCCAAATTACGTAGCTAAGACGCAAGTCAAGTCATTAACCATTTTCATTGGTTTCATGTCATTTCATAGGCTATGTTCATTTTTCCCCACCTGCCA